CAAATCAACATGGTTTCACGAAGAATAAATCAACTATTACTAATTTAAGTTTATATACAGAAAATTTAGTTGATGCAATGATCAATGGATTAGCGACTGATGCTATTTATACGGACTTTTCTAGTGCCTTTGATGTAGTTAAAGTTTCTTTGCTTCTAAATAAGCTTGAAGCTTACGGTATCAATGGTGCATTGTTGAAATGGTTAGAGTCTTATTTGACTGATAGAAAACAGTATGTCAAATATGATAATAATATATCATTAACGTAACATCAGGAGTTGGTCAAGGTTCTCACTTGGGACCATTACTATTTCTTGTTTTCATAAATGATATCAAATCTTGCATACGTCATTGTAAATTTTTGTTGTTTGCTGATGACTTAAAATTATATAAAGTAATTAGATCTATTTATGATAGATACTTAGTGCAAATTGATATAAATTCGTTACTTATTTGGAGTATATTAAACGGCATACCTTTTAACATCAAAAAGTGTTATTTTATTACTTTTTGTAAACGTAACTTACAAGATGTTGATTATAACTTTGACAACGTTGGGTTAGATAAGTTAGACTCGATAAAAGATCCTGGTATCATTTTTAATTCTAAATTATCTTTTAGTTATCATATTGAACACATTAGACATTCAGCAATAAAAAAAATCTATTTTTCAAAGAGATTTACAAGAGATTTTGAAAGTATTAGCACCTTCAGAACTCTGTACTAGTCTTTTGTAAATGAAATTCTAAGCCATGGTTCTGTAGTTTGGAATCCTTATTTTAAATATCAAGTAGATTCTCTTGAAAGAGCCAATCATGCCTTTTTAAGATATGTTGCATACAGAACTGGTATGCCAATGAATTTTACCGATCACAACTACACAAATATTTCAAACAAAATTATGATTCCGACGCTTGAAAGTGCTAGGAACAGGATTGATATTTTATTTGCTTATAATTTATTTAAAAACATTATTGATAATTTCAGTTTATTGTCAAAATTCAGATTTTATGTGCCACCAAGAATGTTAAGACGTAATAATGTTTATTTTCATGTTATGCCACCTAAATCAGATCTGATAAATCATTCTCCTGTTTTTAGATTATCTAAACTATGTAATGAACACAGTAGTTGGCTTGATTTGTATAATTCAAGTAATTATATTGTTAGAAATTTATCAAAGTCTATGTTTACATTTCAGTAGTCTTTTAATTTTGTAATACTTGAATTTATGATTACTAGATTATTGCATTTCCTCATTTGAACATCTGTATTAAATTTCGCGGATGACTATGTTAATCTCAGTTGATTGCCTTATATACTATTATATGATACTGTTACCACATATCTAGCGCCACTTACGCGACGTTTGCGGTGCATTTTTCTATTTATAATACACATGTATAATGGGTTCGCCCGTAAGTTGAATAAATAAATAAATAAATAAATAATAATAATATAATAATAATATAATAATAATATAATAATAATATAATAATGATATAATAATAATATAATAATACTAATCAATCAATCAATAAATACCTACCTCTGAGTGATGAAATCCGCCAAATGTGGGACATGGAGACAGTGGTCATCATCCCCATTGTGATCGGAGCAACTGGGGAAATGCCTAAAAAATTAAGAACATCACTGCAACAATAAGGATTACCGTTTGAATTATATTTACAAATGCAAAAGTCGGTCGTGTTGGACACATGCAGTGTAGTCCGTTGAGTTTTAGGCGGCAACTAGAACAAGATGTTTCTAACATCTGCATCGAACGGGCCATTTTGTTTCAAAACCGATGTGCCAGCGTTCTTAACCCAGGTAAGCCTGTGAATGAGTTTGATAATGATAGCTTTATTACCCAACAGCTAACCATTTACAGGGTAACTAGGAGAAGTTCTAAATTATTACATGCCTAACTACGAAAAACAAATTAAATGTGTATAACAGCTTGATCCACAAGCTTATTCAATGTGCGAGTGAATTATAAATTGTAACATGCCTAAGTACAAAACAGAGAAAAAAAAAGGACAAATAAAGGTGAATAACAGCTTGATCCTCAAGCTCCTTCAATGTGCGAATAAAAATGTCACAGTAAGTTGATATTCTGTTATAGTTGCTACACATGACATGAATGGGCGACTTAACTAAGATATTGGTTCTTGGCCTACTACACTTGAACGTGGCACTAGTCCTACTACTGATCATAGGTATATTAAAATTGATTAAACGTAGGATGGAAGAGCAATCTATTTTATTATATAGTAATTTATATAGAAATGAAAGAGATGCAATACTCCGCCTTAGTTGCAAACTATCTTAATCAGATCTACTAGATAAGATTTCATAGTCAATGCCCCGTTCAGGATAGGTTCCATCCATTTTTAAAGTCGAATATTCTAATGACTTGCATTGAACCTTTTCGATCGCAGTGATGTAGCATTAATATAAAGGATTCCATATAACACAACCATATCGTAGCTTCGGTCGGACAAGCGAGTTGAACAAAATTTTAATGATATCGATATTTGAAAAGTTCCTACATGTCCGCACAATAAACCCATACAGTTTCAAGGCCTCAGGCATTTTTTGCTCGACATGTTCTGCAAATGTTAATTTGCAATCAAAAATTATCCCCACGTCCTTGCAAGTGGCGGCTCTTTGAATTCCACAATTATCTATTATATACTTGTAATTAACAACAGTGCTTCTTCTGCTGTACTAGATGACCTTACACTTTTGAGCATTGAGGTAAAGTTCATTTTTACTACACCAGTTTTCAATATAAGTCAAGTTATTTTGAAGTAAGTTGCAATCATCAACCTCATAAATTCTTGAAAAACTGTTGATATAATCCGCAAAACATAACACCTTGCTATCAACTGTCGCTAGTAAACCATTTATATATAAAATGAATAGCAAAGGACCTAAGTTTGAGCCTTGCGGAACACCAGACGTAACTAAAATGGTGGCTGACTTGTACGCATGATACGAGGCAAACTGAAACCTATCCGACAGATACCAATTAAATAGATCTATAAGCTTATCAGAAAATCCAAAATAAGCAAGCTTTGACCAGTAGCTTTTTATGAGAGACTTTGTCAAATGTATTCGAGAAGTCAGTGTAGATAACATCTACCTATCCTTGACCATCCACGGGATGAATTGTACAATAAGAAATAGATAGGTTACTGTAGCTGGCTTATCTATAAAGCCATGTTGGTTCGTTGAAATGTAATTTCTAACAGGTGGTTGAATTCTATTGTAAAGGGTAGTCTCAAAAACATTTAAAAAGTTGCAAAGAATGCATACAGCTGTATAGTTTTCAATGTTGGCTTTATCCCTGTCTTTAAATATAGGACAAATTCTGGCATGTTTCCACAACTTTAGAAACTTGCCGGTTCTAAGCGAGTGAATTGGCTAAAACATGAGAACAGTCTTTGATCAAAGAGAAAGGGATGTTATCAGGACCTGATGTCATTTTATTCTTCAGTTTACGGATTGCAGTAATCACTTCATCTTCCGTAAGATTTTCAATACTGAAAACTGGAAGGTCGGTTTCAGTATTATTACCACTAGATTCATCATTTGAGTCTATCGTGTAAACCTGCTGAAAAAACATTTTGAATGTATTACCAAAATCTATCTGAATTATTGAAAATATCTCGCTCAATAATCTCCAAGTACTCATCATATGCTGATTTAATAACTAACTCACGTAATCTTTTGAATTCCGTTAAATAAAATTTGTATCTTGTTTTCTTATATATACTATGTTATTTAGCCTTTAACTTTATATTCCTAATGATATCTGAGTTGAACCAATTGAGATATTTTCTTCTGTATGTCTTATACAAGGGAACATGCTTGTCTAAAAGTTGATATAGCTTATCGTACAATGAGCTCACTACAGTATCTACATCAGAGCAGGAGTCAAGGAATTGCCAATTCAGTTCAAATAATTCCGAGTATAGGGCAGGGTAGTTTGCTTTCCTAAAGTTGTATACTTTAGCTGTGGTGTGTGGCTGAAAACTTGATTCTTTAGTAACTATATTTTTTGTGTATGCTTTAAATAACAAAAAACAAAGTCAAAGACAGTACATCTCCAGAAAACTCCAAGATTCCCGAATAGAAGAGGTTATCATTTTAATTTTCAGACTCAACATATCAGCTGATATTAATCAAGAGCGACTTGTCTCCAGGTGGTTGAACCTGGCTTTGATCCATATTTGTTCTTTATTTTATGTTCTGTGGCAGAAAATTCAAGACTCTTATCATAGACGAGATATATTGCTTCGTTAGCATACTTTTCCATTGCATGACTGTTTATTGCATTATTATTAGTTATCAAACCTCAAACACCCCTTGCCACAGTGATATATTATAATGTGTATCCTTAACCTACCTCACGTCGTGTGACATGAGTAACGTAGCTCCTCTATCCAAAAACTAGGTCAGATAGGCGATACGACACACACACACTGATCTAGACAGGGTAAAGGATCCAGCATTTGAAATCTATTGTTGTACGATTTTCAGTAGTTTTTACATTACACTGACAGGCAGACACAGATGGCCGACATCCCCTTCAACTATCGTGAGCGTATTATAGGCAGGATAGAGGAGCTAAAAATATTGTAGTAGGGTTCTTACAACTTTTTTAATTGCCTTAATTATTCAAAATAGTGTTCTATGTGTGTGCAAAAATATCAGAAATGAATTTTCGGTACTTTAGTTGCTAAGGGCTCGAAAATCTCGGGAAATGTTATGCAGACTTCGTACAGATTTTCTTACTATACAGCCATAGTACGAGCCCCTTCCCAATTCAGTTGGCCCACTTTAAGACTTGTAAAAAAATGCCTTTATAAACTAAACATGACGAAACTATTTACTTCTAAGACAATCCATTTTCTCAAAAATATTTTAGATACACTCTAGTCGTAAAAAATACATATTTGAAATCACTTAAACCTATAACTAATAGAACATCTGAACAAATAAACAATGTGCGAATAAATGCGGGAAGTTAACAAGACAACAATTGAAAGATTACCATTGGGTAACATCACCTTTATTTTTACTTTTTACTTTATTACGGCTGAAGTTCTTTGAGGCATAGTGTTAGCCAAGTTTTGGCATAAATTTGGTATAAAACAATCCCATATTCCTTGAAGCTTTTGTCTCAGTTCGGTGATCGTACGAGCAGAATGTTGTCGTAGAACTTTTTTCATTTCGTGCCACAAAGTTTCAATAGGTGACAGCTCTGGACCGCTAGAAACCCATTTCAAAAGTGGTACACTATTTTCTTCCATCCATTTTATAGCCTTTTTTGAGATATGGCACGCTGCACCATCTTGCTGAAACACAAAATGTTGGCCGGATGCAAACATTCTTCAATCACTGGTAAAAATGATTCTTCTAAAATTGCCAAATATTTCTTTGTATCCACATTTCCATCAGTAAAATGAAGTTTTCCTACTCCTTTTGATGACATACTGCCCCAGACAATAATCGATGCTGGAAATTTCACTTTTCTCTTCAGACAGTCAACATGGAATGCTTCATTTTTTTTGCGAATAACTCTACTGCGACTGTCACCAACAAAAACTTCGAATCGGGCCTCACCACTCCATTGTATTGCACACCATTGTTGAGGTGTCCATTGTCTATGTTCTTTAGCCCATTATTTTTCTTTTGCAGTGGAGTTAATAGTGGCTTTTCTTTGGCCTATAAAAAATTGTGCAACTTTAGAGTTTTCACTTCACTTTTTTTTATAAGAAAACGTACCTTGCAAGTACTAAATCCCAGTTTGTGGACCTCTCTATGAGTTGTGGACCTCGAAATTCTCCTTCCAATAGCGTCTCCACTCCACAGAGCACTTAACTGTAAATAATTGACACGCCTGTTTTTCACGATTATTCTTCTTAATTATCTTCGGTCGGCATTTGTGATATTACTTTTTTCACATATCGTGGCTTAATATTAACTGAACCAGTTACGTTATATCTTCTAACGATATTTCTCACACTGTACCGCGATAAGTCTAACAAGGTTGCAATTTCTGAGTTTGATTTCCCAGAATTAAAAAATTTAATTATCAGTAGCCGATTTTTCTCACTAATAGCCTTTCCTCTACCCATTTTGAAAACCTTAACTACCCAAAACTGTTTTAAACGTATTCTGACAGATGTGATTAATAACAACAATTGTCATGGCTTTTATTTTTCACAGCCACCTATGCGTTATAGACTTATTTTGCATTGAAATGAAATTAGATTGATATGCTGTAATTGCAACATGTGTTATTTTTATGCTGCAAATTTAATTAGGAAGAGATAAAGTTGGTGTTTTCTACTGTATATTATCAAAATATTGATTGTTAATATTTTAAACCTATAACACCCTGCTACATTTTTATTATTTGTGTTTGATAAGAAAAAAACTAAGATTTCAATAGTTGGGCCAACTGAAGTGAGATGGGGCTCGTATCTATAACGTCTGTTGGTTTGCTGTATATAACAACTGTCCTGGCAAACACATAATTACCTAGGACTTAAATGCCACGAAGGACTTGGGGCGATCACTGGTGGCTCGACTTCAAACGACTACACTAGTGGACTCTTTATGTAGAACTTGCACTGGACTGACAGTCTGCACTGTAGACTAAATAGCCCAATATATATCAGATGTCAGTTTCCTCATAACCGGTTATCATAAATGTCAGTGATGTCTTAACACGTGTGTCAGTATATCTTTGTAAAATATTCATTTCTTGCTTAGGCTGGTGAAAAATTGATAGTACATAGATATGGGTAAACCCGATCAGAAATGTTTAAATAAGACAAATTTGCTAGTGTATCAAACACCTAGTGGTGAAAAACAGGAGAGGAAGGCTCCTTGTGTTGCAAAAGTACCATACAGACCTCGTAAGTATGCTTTTTTGTCGATCGAAATGCTGTTGAGCCCAGAATGAGCCACGCAACGAAGCGCAGCCTGGAGGGTCGAGTGTGTGGGATTTCACCTCGAACGTTCGTGTCCAACCGGAGCTCTCCGGAAACCTTATTTCTGGATCAGCCTTCGTATCATGTTTGATGATAAATAGTTTTCCATAAAATTACATGTCAACGTACAAATACACCATAAGGTTGACTATCGACCTGTTAGAATATTGATTTATAGTATTATATAAACTGAGAGGCCCACTCAAAGGCAAAGGTGCCTCGATATGACGTAACTGATTGCGGTAGTATAATTTTGGATCCTTTTGTGACCAGTTTGATAAGGACATTAGAAGAAATAACATTATACCTTATAACCGGACACCGACTACCTTACCGTGTTTCTAAGGCGCTTCCCTACGGTGAATAAAGTAGTTGTTTTACGTGTACCCTGAGACCACCTACCGCTACTTTAAGTCCCTGACTTATGACCAACAAAAAATATAGGATGTTTCGTCTTACCGGGCAGCCACAATATCTCTTTTGGTAAGGGTGAGACGATAAAATATTAAATTTGAGTGGGTATTTCTATTCTGTTATCCCGGCTCTAGACGAAAGCGTTGAGGATAATATATTGTTGCGCATTTTCTTCTCCTTCTTCTTGAGGAGCACTCGTTCACCGTCAACGTACTGAGATTGTTAAGGCAGGGGTCACACTGGCACCATAAGCTGACTTAACAACGCTACCCCATGTTACTCTACCTCATTCAACAAATATTGTAAACATGGTTGGTTCTGGTACCCGGATCTATCCCATCATTATGTTGAACGTCCTGAAATTGTTTTGCTCCACTCTTGATGCTTGTTATGAAACCATATCAAGCATTTACGACGGTCTGTCTGTGTGTCAATCAGCCTGTCTATCTGTCCGTCTGAAGTTTGACAAAATATTACTGGTAGGCTAAGGGAAAGCTGATTCTTAGGTTTTGAATGTCGATCCAATTCACATTAATGTACACATCTAAAAGTTCTTTCACTTAACCCAGCCAAATTGAACTTTAGCAGACTTAACCTGAGGGTTTTCCATATGGCTTTAGATTAGACTCGATTGGGTTGAGTTGAGGTAAGTTAGGTAACTTCATAAACGGACCATTTCGTTTTTCAACTTGGGTGATCGGTTTGAAAAATAACTTTGGATTTGTGACTTTATCAAATGTCCAAATCATATCTATAACTTTAATAGAATGTGCAGCCCTTGCAGGAACGTTGATATTTTTCGGTAAATAAAACCGCAGGGTATACCTGGAAAATGTTATTTTCCTACCTGCCTCCTCAATACTCCTGACATCACTTTCCACTTTCATACATATCCGACAAAAATGATACTTTACATTATCTCCCGATCAACACTCATGAATTTTTATAAAAATGTATTCAGACACCGACACCCAGTCGGAAACTTCCAAGGAGGCCCGATTGTTTTTCATTATCGGCGAAACTTCTTCCCTTCTGCTGAAATTTTCAGACTGTTTACTTATACCTTCCAGAAGTTTTTCTCCCAAACTTCCAGTTCGGAAGAGCACCGATGGAATATAAATCGTGGACCTTATAAACAAGACACTTTCTTGCGTCTTTTTTTCATAACCAAGGGCTAATTTTATCGCCTACCAGGACTGGCTGAGACACACGTGTTAAGATTTTTAACAGCGGCTATTCAAAATCAGGGCGAAGATAAGGCAGTCATACAAAAAATACAATATTAGTAATTTTATAACTTAGGACTCTTGAAAACACTTCAAATACAATCATTACCTACGCACTGCTTTAAGTAAGTTATTCTAACGTCAGATTTGTTTGAGTGGCAATTGTTTTTTCTGTTATGGTACTCTTATTTTTTGTTACTTTTAAAACATTACTGTTATAAATTATTTCGTTATGCGTTTATTTTGTCATTTTGATTTATTGAAATGATTTTTAAATTTGTGCCTAAAAATTTAAGAGATCATCTAATGTTAATTGCTTAATTAGTTTGCCGGTTTTAATGTTTTATCATGTTATTGTCCCTGAGACTTGCAATAAAGAGCTTTTTATTTTTATCTCGCAAACGAAGCGAGATATGAAAGAAACTCAACAGATAAAAAGGTTGTATTTTCGCTGCTTAATTCGAAGAAATGTTTAAATAGAAAATTGGAAAACTCGGTCGCGCACAAATTTTTTGTCGAAGATATTAGGTAGAGTGTTTTAGGGAACCCCCTCGACTTAGTAATTTCAGTCTAATTAGGACTTACTGCCCTTAATGCTACTGCCTAATTTGAACAAAAAACCACAAAAAGTTAATTTAGATATTTAGGAATTTTGGAGTTTGGCCTCGTACTTATAGAATTCCCTGAATAGATACCTAAGAATCCTCCAGGTAACTTCTCCAAGTTCTTTCAAGCTTGCGCTTCCTGAAACCGTTGCTCAACATTACCCGAGCCTTGTTGTTTTGCTGTCCAAATTTACTACTTTAGCCAACAAATTGCTCCCAACGAAAGCACTTATTCAACTGTTTAGTAACTGTTAAAGGCTGTACATATGCAACAATATCACAGCTTTTGTAGTACAAAATTGCTGTGCTCGGCATACATTTGTTGCTAAATATGTTGGTATACAACTTCACCATAACCTAACTTTCTGCTGTCATATTTTTGTTAAAATGCCTTTACCAATATGTTTTAAGACAAACAACGCATGCATAATGGTTCAGAAGGTTTTATCAACTGTTCAAACAGAAGATATAGATCTGGTACAAATTCTGGGTAAATCATTCGACTCTGTCGGTATTTCATTTCAGACATTTGTCAAATTGTTGTATAAAACCTGCAGGCAACACCAAAATATTCTAATAAACCAAAGACAACATGGACGATGCCATGATTATACACAACCACCCACCATATTGGGCAAACATTTATTCCTCTATTTAGTATTAAATAATTATGTATAAGATCGAAATTACAGATATAAAGTGATAAACATTAGCGTAACTGTGTCTAAATATAGGATTTGTGGAAGATTTAACGCGGATAAGTTCAGTTTTCCATCTTAAAAATCTAGACATACTTTTGATCATTATTAAAATATGAATCAAATACGATGTCCGTAGAAATTGTGTAACTACTTTGCACGATAATCACAATAAAATTTGCTGCGCAAGTAATTCAATAGCACTATATCACAGTGTAGAAGTTTATCATATACCTGTGTATAAAATTCACAAGATGACTGTAGTGTGTTAGTTATATATTCTTCACTTCGTCTATACAATACATAAGAAATAGTTTGGTTGCAATAAAGTAGAATCACGTAACAGAATAGTTGTATAGTTGACAAAGACTGAATCTTGAACTGACGCGAATGTCCTATAGCGGCTGCAAGAGGCTTAACCTTTTGTTGTATAACTATTACCTGCAGCCTCTTAAATGACTCAAGTGTCCTATTAGGTGTGCCCATTCCCCTTGTATAGCTGTTCTAAGAGGATTTTGCCAATCTTCTTACAGTATACAATGCTGTGTAAGAAATACTGTATAATTATTCTTGCAACTCTAATAGGAGTGATAATTGTTAGTTGGGTATGGTTTCCTGTATACCGTGCAAGTTAAAATGGACGAATCTGGATCTCTCATAACAAACCTTGTTCATATACTAGGAGGCCATGTAGCTCGTCGCCGAGGATTAGGGAAACGCTCAAGATCACCTTTTTAGTTAGTTATGACGTGCTAATGTTCACAGGCTACCTTGAAATCGGAGCAAACCATAGCACATGTTGCTAAAGTTTTTACCATTTTTGTCGACAACACTTTCAAGTGGCTGGCCAACAGCCAAGTCACGAGGTATCCACGGTTCTTGCCGAAGTGAACTTTCAGCGAGGTCTGTCCTGTATAGACCGATAAGCTAAGAAGAATGGAAATGTTTGTAGCGGGTGACCCAATAATGGCCCAATCTATAGCCATCTGTTGAAGAGAAATTGCTGCAAAATATTTCCAGCATCATAAAATGGCTGTTGGGGGGCGTATTTTCAGTTTCAAAAACTGACACATCATTATTTTGCAAAGATCGGTAATTAACGTATTGATTATCTAACTATCTAACTCTAACATGTTGACTGCTCAATTTTCGACATTTTTTCTCGATGTTATTCCATATTTTGTTTAGTTTATGTTGAATATTATTACAGAAACAGTACATTATTCTTCATTATAGCTCCGAAATGGCGTAAAAAGTCCTATGAAATGGCAAAAACCACATAGTCAGTATCTTTAATCGTTATGGATATCTAATGAAAAATATGCTTAAACTACAATTTTCAAACACTACTGGATGAAAAGGAAAATTCAAGCTATGAATATTTATGTATAGTGTATCGATATGATACGATTTAAAGATGTTTTACTTGTAAATTCATGTTTCCGCTTCTTGTAGCTTATAGGTGTCATAAGTCTCGCTTGATGCATAAAAAATTCAATCATACCTCATATTTTAACTCAGTTCGCTTTGAAATACGAATAATTAAGGAAATAACAAGTTTTTACTCCTTCTGGTCGATATATCCTGTAAAGTGCAAATTATAAATTGTTCTATATCCATTGCAATATTAAATATAGCGGCTATTTCGTTTAAAAGGCCGTATTGCTAGAATCTAGCATGCCATGAAATTCTTGAACAAAAACAAAATAATAAACTAAAATTAATTAGTGCAGACGTCATAACCATTGAGGTCGCATAGTTTCCAAGTTGGCGTTATAATTTTCTGAAATGCAGTTTAAAAATGAAGTAGCGTCTGATGTGCTTCCAGTCTGTTTTGGATGCATGCAAAATGCAACTATTGCTGCGTTAAGCGAGTGTTCAGTAGACTTGTCCAGCGGCTAAGGAGTACGGGGAGTGTCCGCCATCCCAGCGTCAGAAAAATTAAGGTTCGTAGCTTAGAAAATATAAAGGCAGTGTTAAGCTACGTGGATATTAGCTACCATTCCAGCACAAGAAACATCGGTAGACATTTAGGCCCGACTAGGTCAAATGTGTGACGAATACTCATAGAGATTAAGTGAATATGCAACAAAGCGTAATTCTCAATGTACTAAGACCTTTCTCTGGGTTTCAGGCTTGAGTTATCATTTGGTACTGTTTCAAGAACTAACAAGTAATGACGTTGATAGAATACTCAACTACTGATACTTGTTTTTAAGAATGCTTGCCTATCATTTTAAAAAAGCGTCAAATGTTTTGTGGACTGAAGAAGCTACGTTCAAAAGCAATGGCAATGTGAATTTGCATAACGTGCATTATTGGAGCCATAACAACCAATATTGGATGCAGCGTGTCATCAAGGTCGATGGATTGTAAATCTGTGTCGTATTTTGTAGTGTAAAGTCATAGGCCCCTGCTGTTGAGTCAACGTGCAGGAAGGAAAATCAAATAGTTTTTTTTTAGTACCGCAGACGTCTTTTAAGAAAAGAAGTATTAAGATTTGAAAGCTAACTTGCCAACGATGCGACCTTAATGGTTTTGAAGTGTGCACTGATTTATTTTAGGTTATTTCTGTCTCTTTCAGGATGTAATTATATGGAACGCTAGATTTAATTATTACGCCTTTTGAACGGAATAATCGCCATAATTTATTATATAACGCAATTTGAGAAATATCTAGATAAGATAAGTGAGTAAAAACATAGTGTTTTCTGAATTTTTTATATTCCAAATCAAACTGAGTTAAACTATAGGTTATAAAAACCATAAAAATAAATTTCCAAGTAACATATCTTTAAATGCAGACGCAAACTTTTTCGAGTAAAACCAAGATTGTGATAGTCGATGGAGTCAAACACAAGTTATATGACTTTTTCTTAGATAGCACTAACCCTTCCCCGAAACGAATCAAAATATAGATGAATGTCATTAAGCAAAACGTTGAGTAACTAACATAACAGAGTTATTGAATCAGCCCGTTAATAAAGCTTTTTGCAAACTAATGACGTTTGAATTTTTGAAATTCAAAATACGCGAAGCAATTTCCCTTGGCCACTTTTATTTTGAAAATGTTTAAGGGTTGAGACGTTTCTGAGATTATTTATTATTTGGTCGCCCGGTTTATTTAAGCAAAATATAGTTGGGTTATCTTTCCGCTTAAAAATCTACTGCTAGATTTTGTTATCCGGAAATTTTGTTTTACATGTATGTATTCGTATAAAATCTCTAGCAATTTGTAAACCGACGCCAAAAACGATCAGAGTTGCAACTGGAAAGGAGCTGAAGAGAATTTGCCCACCAAAATTATGTGACTGCGGACGCGGACCTAAGAAACCTGGGAAGGGGATGCTTGGCCTACTTGGTTTTGCACTGAAAGCAGGATTAGCTGCAGCAGCTGTCTATGTCAGCTATGACATAGGAGTGTGGGGTAAGCACTAATGCTGTAGCTAAGAACTGTCCTCGCTGCTCTCGCTGTCAATTTCTCAACCAATTGTAAATTTTTTCTAGTCAAGGTTATTAAAAAATCAAGATGTACAAGGTGAGTTTTTGGTGTGTGATCGGTCGATGACTTTGATAACTTCGCTGGAATACCTTGTATATCTCTGGGTATATTTTGAAAGACGTTTTCAAACAAGTTTCATGTGGCATACTATAAGGTTTGTATCGCTACTTCCGAAGTGGATATTTTGTCTGAACAACACTTAACTTTGACAGTAAATCACTTTTGCAGATGGGCATTTCGAGTAGGGTAGTACTATATTTTTTTTAACAACTGTTTTCGATATTTGTTATAATTACGGGCTGGCAAACCATTACACACTAAAATTCATCCATGTTAAATATTTCAATGCGTCGACTTTTGATCTTGAGTTACATCATTTAACCCCAGAAAATTGTTTGAAAAAAAATGTGGTTGAGAGCATGGTAATGATTCGACAATTCCTGCTTCGATTAAGAGGGTATAAGTCACACTGTCTTCTCTATAAAAAGAACTTATTTGACTCATCCTTCGTAAAAAAATATTTTTAGGTACTGGTGATGACACAATGGATCTATACAAATCATACTGTAATTTGAAAACAGATCCGCAGAAAAGGAAAGAAGAAACTTGGAAGCCACAATCTTGTCAGCAAGAAAGGGAACTTTTTACGGTAATAAGCAATGAGAGTTCAAAGCTATGAGTTATAGTAACCAATATTTGTTATAACCGCGTTACTTGGACTAGATCCTACAAAACTAAAGACCTACTTGAATAATATAACTTTTAATGCGAGTTTGACGGTTAGTGGTAATTGAAGGATACACAAATTTATACGCAGCATTTCTTTGTGAGAAGCTCATGTTGGAAAGTATCACCATTTTTAGTAACATCGCAAGCCATTGACTATTGCATGCTAGTGCTTATAGATTATTGTGTTTGATTTCTTATAATGCATGGTTGCAACGCTTTACTCAATTCTGCCGCTTAACAAACATAAATGGGCCAATAAATAGGCAGAACTTGTATATATGATTCATACAACATATTTTTGGTGGAATTGTTAGATTACAGCTTTTTGCCGCTATTTTGATGAACGCGCCTGATCGAAAATCGTGAAAAGCATCGATCCTACTTTAAAAAATAGAAACAATTTTGTAGGAAATTATATTCTTTACCGTTTTGCATCTATAAAAAATGCCTATTGGCGATTCTGTCACTGAACAGTTTCAGTAAGCGTTGATGCGATTTCAATGGAAGAGGAGATGTAGTAGGTAATTCTGGCTTATGACATTGCTCCCTTTCAATTAAAGTTGTTTCAACAGTTGCTGTAGTGACAAAATCGCCAATAGACAGACTGATGGTAGTTGGTGATGACTTGATAAATTATCCGAAAATATTACATTTTCCATACTCACGCGTGGCAGTAAAAAAATTGATTCACCTTAAGATGGTATTCCTGGTCACAGATAATGACTTGTGGAGTTATCCCCACGTGAAAACAAGGTGTCGGATAGGCGTAACACATCTTTTTGTTTGAGTTTTATTTTTCACAAAAGAGCATAGTAGTCATCGTACGCTTAAGTTCTTAGTTTAGTCAAATCAAGCGAAACGATCAATCATTGCATCTACCTTAACACTTTAATTCCTCGTAACTTGTTGACCGTATGACAAGTTTATGTTTATGTTTATGCAAGCAAAATTATTAATAATTCAATTCCCTACAAAACTGTTTTTATCACTTTATTACTTAGGATTAATGGTTCCAATATTTGCAGTCAAACGCGTTTATTAAAATGGCGGGATTTGCTACAGCCCTACCATGATGCCAATTTGAATATTATCATTACGAAGCAATAATCTAACGATACCATCAAAACATTTAACATTGCAAAAGTTGTAGAAATAAATCATCTATTTCCTGGCTTAAGAGTTACATCTGATAATAGTGTATCTATAGTACCCTTATACAGGGTGTTTTCATAGTTCAGTCGTTTATTTTAACAGCTTGTAGAACTCGTCAAAAGAAGTTGATATATCAAAAATCACCTACATAATATTAGCATAATAAGGGATTTAGTTAACATTATTAAAAATTATTTAAAAGAATCATTATCATGTTAAATGGATACCGTTTTTACAATACTGTTCTAAATTCTCCCGATTCTTTCGATTAATGCCAAATCTTGCTCGGCGAATCCACGACCCTTTACAGGCTTTGAAAATAAAATCGTGCTGCCCACGAATTAATTCACATGTATTTTTACTGCGCTGTTGATGTTTTTCCAGAGTACTTACTGCTTCATTATGATGCACCAACTCTTTCAAATAGCCCCACAGGAAAAAATCGCAAGGCGTTGAATCCAGGGAGCGAGCAGGTCAAGAAATGGGTCCTATTCATCTATTCGGAAACTCATTATTCAGATGTTAATGAATTTCTCGTCTGAAATCCCTAATAATTGTGTCAGATTGTGTCGAAAAAAATCTAAATAAATTTCACCGGTCAGTCGAGGTCGAAAATAGTAGGGTCCAATGCCATTTACCATGCCAGCCCAAGCATTTAATGAAAATGTATGCTGAAAATGTCTTCTTTTTACAGCATTAGCATTTTCTGCTGCCCCAGCATGATTTTTGTGGAAACTGTAGCCTCGTCTGTACACAAAATCAATTACCACTGGAAAAATGCAACTCTTTTAGGATGATCTTCAAGTTATAACGATTGTACCCGGTGATAATGATAATGATAATGATAGTACTGCTCTTGTCGTATTGTCTTCCACATTTTACTATGAGAAACTTCAACTTGGGCCGTTATGGCTCTAGCACTCATTGTTCGGTGGTCTTCGACCATTTCTAAAACGTTTTTCTCAATTTGTTACATTTCAGGTTGAGCAGGACTTCTAGGTTGACTTTCTCATTATTCTTTTAAATATCCTGTGTCACGAAGTCTAATACCCAAATTTACACACATCCGTGAGGCCGGCTGATTTCGTAAAGAAAACCTTTCCGCATACAACCTGCATGCTGCGGCTGCATTTTGTTGACACCCTCCGTATTTTTCTCACAAAATAGTCCAACAAATCAGAAAGTATATGCACTATTAAAAGACTAACCCAACTGATCGCACCAAAGACTCGTAATGAAAACCATACCATAACACAAACAGTTCGTCAAGTTTAGATAAACGATAAATGTAGGAAACAAAAAACGCGATTTTACATGGCAGTGGTCCAGAATATCAAAAAATCTATGTAAAAACATTTTTTTAACTTTTTACTGTTCATTTTATTATGCAACTTTTATATAGGTGATTTTTGGTATATCAGCTCCTTTTGACAAGTCCTACAAGCTGTTAAAATAAATGACAACTTCTAAAACGGGCTGTATAATATAGCTACAGATTTGTTGGTTGACTTGGTTCTATGCCCACGAGGTTTTGTCACAATTTGTCAAAAAGTAAAGTAAGAAAGTGGTAGCTACACGATCCTCTAACCTGTCATCAATTACCCTCAAGATAAGCAAGGAAAAATTATTCGATGCATGATCTGTCTATCTTAGCTTTACTCAAGGTTTAAGAATTTCCATTTCAAAAATATGAAAAGTAATTATAAGCTGAGCTTGAGGTCCGCCTTAGCATAGCAGTGCAATCAAGCATTAACAGCTTGAAAATGAAGTCCTGAAAAGCGTATGTGTAGTCATTGACCTTTGTATACTCGAAATAGTGAAATTCTTGGTGGTTTTATTAACGCTCCGTTAATCGACGAAATTAAGGTGGCACTGCTCAATATCTTCTATTTGTAAGATACTAATTATGAATGAGGTTTTCAGCAACTCGAGCCTGGGTTTGGAATATTTGATCATAGCGCCTAGCATGGATAGGTATAATGTCATTTGACTCAAAAATCCCTGATAACACGGAGTTTTGGCAATAACCGAGTCACAACGAATTCGAATAGATTAGAAGACGACAAACCAATACGTTTACGTTGTATTGTCTCAAAAATTTCGTAGTTTTAATGCGTACTTTTCACCCATTTGAACACGATTGCCTACCAAATAATTGACATCATTGTATCAACATTATAATACTCACCGGTGGAAGGTCTACCGTCTTTAGGCTTGTGCCGCTCGTTGCAAATTATGCAAGAAGTACCATGTCCTAGAATCGTCTAACAACACTAAAAATGTGAATTTAATGAAAAAGTGTAAAAAAATTATCTTATACAGGTCCACTAGTAGAATGCAGTTTCATCCTACGGACTAAGATTTTGGTGACCAACAAATCTTAAGCTTACTCCTTTTTTATCTATACCGAAGCAGCCACGCAGGCAAAAGCCTAAATGCCGAGACACAATTTTGTTAATCCGATTTTTGAACTGCCAAAGGTTAGTAGAACCGGGAAAAGCTTCCTCTTGTAGATTGTTCCACAATCTCGACACCCGCGGGACAAAGGAGCGGTTGAATCGGCCAGTTCTGGATGAACGAAGTTCAGCACCAGTAGGATGGGAGGCCAAAGTCAGGCGGGTCTGTCTGTCAGGCACATAACGCGGCTGCATCTTGGAAGACAGCTCTGAGGAGCAAAGCCCGTTGTGTAGCGGTAGAAGAGAGCTAGATCGCCAACGGCCTGCCAGTGCGAAAGGGTCCCGAGACTGTCTGTTATAGAAGAGTCATCGATCAGTCGGACAGCCTTCGTCTGGACAGCATCGAGCATAAATTATGTAGTCGGGGCGGCAGCACCCCAAACGTATGAGCAATACTCGAGGCTAGGCCTTATCTGGGCCTTGTATAGAGTGAGAAGGTCATGCGGAGAGAAGTACTTCTTAGCCCTAGACAAATAGCGTTGGATTGACGGCACTTGGGCGTTGGGGGGGAAGACCATGGTGGAGTTGGCGGCAAATATTTTGGCAAGCACTTCCGCCTTAGCTTTTGAGTCGGATACAATCGTTCCATCCTGACAAGTAAGTGATGGAAGGCTACTGTGTGAGAAGTTCTTTCCAATCTGCTTGGCTCGCGTCCAGAAAGATTGACTGCCATTGCGCTGCTACATAACCCTGTGCCTAACTTTTATGTTGTGCTGATTTTTGGCATTGTGAACCGCTTCGTTGTATTTGTTTCTGGAATCGACGTCGGCTTGTCTGTTCTCTACAGTGGGGTTTTGGGGGGGGTTGTGTTCCTTGATCTTCTGCTGACGAGCAGTACCACACGATTGGTTAAGCCAGCCGTTGGACCCTGGTTTAGGCATTTTCACTGTATGAGGGATGTATTCCTACATTCCGACGTGGATAATTTCAGTTATCGAAGAACAGATAACCGGCGCATCCGCGACAGCGAAACAGACAGGTAGATAAGAAGTCCTTAGCCCCTCCCAGTCGGCATTTCCGTAATGCTGCCTAGTCTGAATTTGTTGCAAGATACTGCATGCGTAAACTTCACCGATAACTTGTAATCCATTGATTTCTTATCACTTAAACGTTAACGCTCAGATATGCTGTACTTGCAGTTGCTAAAACCCTCTGAGATCCCTCTTTCCACCTTCTCTTTTCAGCCCGCACAGTTTGATCCCTACCAGCACTGTGGCAAACCTCCAATAGACCTGCAAGATAAACAAATTAAATTCAAACAGTATTGGAACTGTGCCGTGACCTGTGTATTTTCGGCAATAGCGGGATTACCAAATAACATCATCAACAGGGGATCAAAGGAAAAGAAGGACGAAACGAAGGATCAAGATCAACAGCCATTTTGTATACCTTACAACGAACTACCAGAAGATGAGAAAATCGAGAATTCTTATAGATAGATCATTGATGATTAACCGACTTTGTTTTCTTCTTCTTAGATACTTGATATTTGTATTTATCTAAATTTCAGCATAAAATGAATTGGTTAAAGGATATTTGTTATCGCAACAAAATCTTGGTTGATAAGAGTCTGGTGCAGTTATAAAGAATAACGATTGCTTCAGTAAATAACAACCCGAGAGGTATTAAAGTAGGCGCTGGTGGAATTCGAGCCCCATTTTGTGATTCTGTAGAGCTGACCTAAACAGTAAATCTACAGTACAGATTCCAACCAACATTCAAGATTAACTATTATAGCCAAATTCAATGCTGCCCACGCCACTGTTCCTTTTGTTCTCTAGCCTTAGTACCCCATCTGACGGCGTTCAAGTCCTGTACCTCAGGCTGTTGATTACTAAATATACTCGCTGTTGCTGATGCGCTCATTCAAAAAATCGTATACAGGTTACTGTCCTTGCACGGTGGTACCGTGGTGTGTCCACACGAGGCCGCGTGGTGCGACTCGGAAGCGATTCGAGATACCTTACCATCGATCTTTTTACTTGAACGACACCACACGAAGCACCAAGACAGCTTGGAGGAGCAAAAAAAAAAACAGTGGAGTGAATAGGATTGAATTTAGCTCTCAAACAGTTGATCCCGAAAGTTGGTTGCCAAGTTGTTTTCTAAACATACTTGCTACTGCAGAAGCGCTCATCTGAAGAATCGTATATAAGGAAGGTTACTGTTTTGGCAAAGATAGAGTAGTGCTTACAGACAAAAATAAGAACCTCGGCCGTAACATCTAAAGCATCTGAAAGTAGAATGCAATGCCATGATGTCAGAGTGCGTCAGTCATAGCAATGAACCACTTCTAAAGTCCCTCATACTGGTAGCAGAAATGAGGTCATAATTTGCTAAGTTCCAGGTATTTTAGAAATTGTTTTCTAATAGCCGTGGTTTTTATTTACGACCTTTATCATCTGATTAAAAAATGCTGACCTTTAGTACCTCTACTTGCACTGGTATTCTAGCAAGAACGACAAAATTTAACCTATATTATTAGAAAATCATGACTTTGTATAATAACACCACCCTTCTGACAAATTTGTAGTCTTTCAGTTTAATGATCTATTTATTGAACCCTGTGCTAGAACAGAGTGAAAAGTGCGAGGAATATTAAAGAATGATTTTGACCAGATTGTTTTGTATTCATTTCATTCATCCAAATGAAATGCTTCATTAATGATGAAGGTATGCTGGGGCGCGCTAACGACGATCATCACATATCTGCGATATGATTAATTTCACAGTGAATAGGTTGCTAGGTTGTTGGGAAGAACTAAGAGCAGACTCGGCACGTGAAATTATGAACATGGCGTCGAGCAGGTTCACTCCACACTTCCCAGGGAACGCTTTCATCAATTGAAAAATTTGTTCGGCATGAGTTAGGTCCTACCATAAAAAAGTCAACTACAACATGTTAATTAGATAGACCCAGTCAGTCAAATTAGTTATTTCTGACTAGCAGAGGCCATCCTACTATCAGAAATCCATTGTTGAAAAGAACTGCACTCATCTCAATTAATTGACAAGCAACAGCGCCGTTGCTATCGAAACGGCTTTGAGTAAGCCCGACACCATCGAAACACAGATCGCCGAGTAGCCACGCTCGACGATATGGGAGCGTCAAAGATCTATGGGGCTTGAACCCGCGCAGCTCACGAAAACTAGGTCAGTAGAGGCAAGGGCTGGCTGCATCCCTCTGTTTCTAGTGTTACATGCCTCATATACTAAATAATCTATAGATGTGGGATTAGGAGATTTGCCTGAATGAATCAAGGTAAAACATGTAAGCTTCAGACGACACAACTCATTCCACTTTTTCACCCTTCGCCTATTTTCATGTGTCGTCAATCCCTCATCCGCCGTCCGCGCCATCTAACAACGCTGCATTCCCTTTTCCCAGCCAATACCTAACCTATCCAATATCGCTTAATGGCAACGGTGGGAAACTCGGTCGATTGGATGAAGACATCTGACTGATAAGAGGGAGAGGGAAAAGCTCCACGCAGGGGTGGATGCCATTGCTACAGTACAGTTCAAGTGGTAAACACAATTATCCCTGTGGGAACAATCATCACGAATGTTGCACTACCAATCTGTCATAGGGAGTGTAAATGCAAACACTGGATATGTAGTGATCACCAATTCATCCCTGTAAGTTATATGGGGTTAGATTTTGACCAATAAGAGGAAAAACGAAAATTGTTGGTGGGGCTACAGTTTTTTTTGAGGAGTTGGCATTAGACTGCCAGAAAGATGTATGAAACTAAAATTATATCCTGAGTCCAGGCTCTCTCCAAAAATCTAGTAATGCACGATAGACCTCCTTATTTGCAGATGCTTTTAATGTACACCTATTACTGATCAGTGGAAGTTGGTGCTACGTCTGGATTACGAGTGATATGAGCTTATCTGTAGCAGTCTTTTAACTACTGCATGGCAGAAACAGGTGATTAAGATCAACTACTTGTTCTTCTATCTCACAGAGGAGTGACTCTTGATCCTATTTTATAAAGATTTACTGGGAAATTTCAATGGTTGCCCTTGTATTCTCGTTAATGTAGCAGAGCATTCTCTTTTGATGTGTGTATGTGTCACCATTATCGATTAGAATAATATAATTGCGTCGAGAATAGTTCCTATTTGTAGTATGCTGTTTATCCAAAATATTTGTTGTAGAGTGTCTAATATTATCTTAATTCAAGTTTTGGGGGCTTTGAGTCTCCATCTGACTAATTATCTGCTCTCTATATGACACGCACTCTTCCCTATATGGATTTGAGGGTACTGAATGACTGATTTCTTTCTTATGTACGGGTTCTGGGGAATTTGGTGGAGTGTTTTGTGATAGCTGTTCAAATCTATTCGGTCTTGTTGTAATAATGTTTTGTAAGTGTGCTTTGTTGTTATATTAAGGCGTTATTATGGCTTTACTTAAGGCAGTGTTGTTTCTGGATCTTTTAATCTGAGAAAATCTTCAATGTTGTTAAATAATGCAAATCTGTTGCTAGTTACTACTTTAGACTGCGTATGATTGACTTCCTTAAATGACATGTTGTTCCTCAGCCATCAGTTTTTTAATATTCAACTTTTTTTCATACATTGGGCATTCTTTTGAGACTGAATTATCCCTTTAATACTGCACTGAACGTATATGTTTTTTGACTATTGCATGGTTTTTATCGAGATTCATCGTTTCCGCAAGACTCACACTTTTTCTCTCTGCACTGTTTACTCGTGTGACCATAGCGTAACCAGTTAAAGCACTGGACGTCTGAGAAGTAACTTATTACTCAATTTTTCTTATTATTCAACTGAAAAATTCAAGATATTAATTCACAGGTATTGGGGTATTGTATTTCCTACGAAGTGACAATCACCATTTGTCAATCTACAAACGTTGCATCATTAGTATTTTTGTCTCGAATTTTGCGTTTTGAAAGTTCAACCCTAGATACCTCTATCGATGATTCTGATGTCTTTAAAATGTGCTCCTCAGATAAGTAGTTGTCGATCATTCTTATAATACCTTTTTTGATTATAGAACTTTGGAATGTACGCAACTAATTTGTTTTTCATGTAAACATTATTTTTTAGCAACGTAATTGCAACATTATATGGTTTAAATACGACTTTTAGTCTGTTTATACTGACATCTTAAATGTCCATTAATTACATCTTTCTTAAATACATATACAACTTGAAGGAAGTAACCAAGACGGATGGGGAATAATCTCCCAATTTTTTATCCTAGATGTTAAACGATGATTTTTTGAGAAGACATACATCTTTTCACTGTCGTTTTTTGCGTATTGTTTATGTCTGGAGTGTTTGTGCTATCCTGACAAGTTGTTTGACATGGCAGTTTATCTGGTCTGATGTTAATCAAGAGAAACCTGTATTAATACTTATCTAAATAATGGGAAGACATTCAAGCTAGAAAATGTCAACCACCACAAAGATGAGTGCCTGACGAAAATATTGTAATTAAGCAAACTTGTTATGGTATGACTTATGAAATGCGTTATGAAAAATAAAATAAACAATTTTTAAAGCTTAACATGTAATAATTGTTTATATAAAATGGTACACTTATTTCATAAAGTACAAACATAATTCTGTTTCCTGTATGAATTGTTCATTTAACATACTCGACTAGTAATCCATAATGAACTTATATTGTGATAATTGACCAGATATAACTATTCTATTTATTAAGCATTATTACATTACGCAGCATTTTTGTGCATTCCTAAGCTTGTGGTAACAGTGTACACTTTTTGAGATGAAAACCAACAAGATGTTCAAATAATACTTCCCTGACATTCCACCTAAGAGGGAAATTTAATCATATGAAAAAAGTACTAGCTTTTATCCGGGCTGAAAGTTATTTGCATTGTGGTCGTACAACAATATAGCAAATGACAAAGTAGAAGTATGGATTGCTTGAAAAGACTTTCTTTATTGATACTCGTCTAAAAATTAAATAACAAAAGTGACATCATACTAAGGAAGAGTGACAGGAATCACAAAAATTAAATTCCAGAGTCACATGCGAGTATACGTCGTATGCGAGATTGGAAAACATCTCCCCCTCCCCCTCTATGACAATGGCATGAAGGTGAGATCTGTGAAAAGCCTAATAATTGATTTTTGAGCTAAGAGAATCTATTACTGTTTGACATCGATATAATGAGCCATCTCTACTTTAAGATTTTTGGTATTGAATCCAGTATACCTACTATTTCCGCCATTTTTTTAAGTATTTCTGGTAATAAAATCCGAATTAGCGATCCGAATAACTCCCGTAAATAAATAGTCCCTTAATAATGTTTTAGGTGTTTGCTTATCTTTTCGAGAATCGGCTACAGAGAAAATGGATAAGTGCTGTATTGAAACAAGAGTAGCCAAACATAAGCGCAAAAATTGCTTTCTGTGAGCGTCCTTTGAGGGATTTTGGTCTCCGGCACGGGTATTACGTATCTTGAAAAGTGACGGTATATCGATTTTTTTTGACATTATACTGATTTTTTTTTTCGTTATGTAGGTTTTTGTACAAGATGTTAACTTAGCACTTAGTTGTAGTTACCAATGTTTGGCTCTGATGTGATGTAGAATCTGCTTCAAAGATGGCATTACTGGAGGTCTAAGCTGTAAGTGGTAGGTATCTGTTGATGATAATTCCATTGGATTCTTGTCTCAAATATACTTAATTGAGATTCAAAGCTAGAAATTAGTTGCGCATCCACTTGTTTTTACCCATTCGATAAATTACATATGCAAATTTGCTGGATTTCAAAAATAAGAGAGATAAGAAATAATTATATTCACTGTACACTGGGTTAAAGTTTTTTGTAATTTATAACTTTGAACATAACCTGTCTTCAGAAAGGACAACATATACTCGTAAATAACCCGTCGGGCACAGCTAATAGATAAACTTCATTGGCAGCATATTCAGTAATGATTTTATACACATGCAGACCAATACACATAATCATTCAGATGAGATCTTGCTATTCAACCAACTTTCTTCTCAGAGATAAAAACTAGAGGCACAGACCACTAGGGCTCACAAAACATATGCAACCAATAATGCGTGTAGTTTAATTAAGTGATTCGTCCATAGATGGACGTTCACAACGATCCTAGTGAACAAACGTGGAATGGCTTTTTGCGCCCTAAAATCTACCTAGTCTGCAAGATGACATCTTTTATATTTTTATGACGTTTTATAGGTGTTTTACATGATACCCGTGCTTGTAGAAAGTTGTGCTGTGCTGTGTTTCTTTGGTTTCCACCTTGGTAATTTTGACACTCCATAATGACACAGTATACTTTTTCATATGTTTTTGTGTAGTATTAAGCTGCGTTTCTAAGGGGAACCGTACTGAAACTGCACATGGGCCCAAATACTGAAATGCAGGTCGAAAAGTATTTTTCTGACCCATAAACTTTAAGGGACTGTGACAGTGATAGGCTTGGCATAATTCAAACACGATCAAGATATTGCAAATATAAAAGATCATCTAGCCTTGGTAGCCCTTGGCTAAATGGCAGTAAGAAGTGCGTTATAGATCTAAGAGAGCAGGCGCATACAGAATTTTAAGACGAACATCTACAGTGACCTTA